GCTCAAAATTTTTCCAGCTTTATTAACTATTATCAGGGTTTAGGATTAGGGTTTGAATTGGGAGAAGGCGATGGTGCTGAGCAATAGGGTTTGGTGAACAGAATATTGCAAGCTCGACCATTTGAGGAGCATGGGAGGGGAGCGAGAGGGAAGAGAGAAGGAAGAAAAAAAATAAAAAATAAAGCATATATATATATATATATATTTTTTTTTTTCTAAGACAGTGGCAGGAGAAGTAATAACACAAAATTAATAGGGGCAAAACAAGAAGCATGCTGTGATTATTAACAGTGAAACATTTTATTTTGGGTTTTAGTATATATTAAATTTAATCCTATATGAATTCCAGTTAATGATAGCGTAAGAAGTTAGATGAAACATCGTATTCCAGAATCCACATTACACTATTATTTACAGATGCATAATTGCACCATTTAAGCTGTGTGTATCTGTTCGCAGTAAAATGTGGATCAAGCTGTGTGTGTTGGTGTTTGCTAGCTTCTTGCTGCTTGATATGCTTCAAGAAAAGTACAAAGTTAGTTTTGAAAGGTGCCTTTGTGGGGCCTTAGGCATAAGCCTTGAGGCTCACAATAAAAAATGAACAACAAGCCTAACGTGCCACTGTTATCTCAGTATAACAGACGCATAATAGATTTGGTTTAAGTTGATTACTTGCGCCCCAAGTTACTTAAACTTCTCGTTATCAAAGGATTATCGCAGATGGGTTAAGTCTACATTAAGTTCTTTTTCTAGGATTTTTAATTCATGATCTTGTATGTTCGAATGAAGGGAGTCTAGAGCCCTTTGGACCATTTGCTTGATTCCATGTTGTGCTTTAATGAAAACAATTTTCTTAAGTTAACCAGATCCAGATGTAAATGGGACTTTTAAAGTAGAAAACAGATGGAAATAACTTGAATACATGTTGAAAAGTACATTTAAGTGACATATCTACTAATTTAGAAGACAAACAAAGAGACTCGGGCAAGATTTTAGCAAGATTTCACCTTGTTTGGCAAGGTTGAACCTTTTGCAGCCACTTCTCTTTGAGTTTACAAAGGTTGTGCACTAAAAGGGATGGATGGTAAACAGGTTTCACACAAGGGAATCGATACTACACCACTAGGGAAGGTAGCAGAGCTTTTACACTAGACAAAAGATAGCTTTTCTAAGGAAACTATTGCTAAAAGGACTAAATCTAGGTTGATGTCAGATTTCTGGATGCAAATGTGCTTGAGAGCAGAGTTTGTATATTTGTTTGTTTGATTGGTTGAGCGTCCTTGTCTTAGATGCTTGCTTCCCCTTTTATAGGCAGTTTGGCCCAACTGCTTTTAGTTATGCTCTTGCCCGAAAGCTCTTGGAGGGTAGTAAGTCATCATCTTTTTACTTGTAGTGCCACTAAAAAGTGCTTTTTGGCTAATAATAGGTTGGTTTCCATCACTTATCACTTTATAGACACGTGACTTGTATCTTGGCTGAGACGGCTTCTAACCCGCATTTAGGCTTCAAGGTTGGGCTTCGGGCAAATGTAACATGTTTTAGCGCCTTTGGGCTTCCCTTCTATTAAGCCCAATATTCAAATATTAACCCAAATAGTATCATTGTGGCTTTAAGAATAACTAAAAGGTGTATTCATATATAACTGAACATTAATTCCAATTCCTTAAACAATTAGTGATGCATTGCCATCAATATTATCAAATAATAAAAGATATTTTTAGGAGAATGGACGATAATACTACCATTCACATCACATTGGCCTTTTTACAATATCAATTGCAAATGGGTGAGAATAACACAATTGTAAACCCTAAATTTATTTTTGTTTTTACAAATTAATAGTATTAGAAATAGAAATAATTAAAATTAAAAGCGAAAGCGTAATAAAATTTAATATTAAAAAGAAATTTCTTAATTGTTAAGAATAACACTACTGCCACCCACATAGATACATCTCCTATTGACCCCCACCAACCCCTATTTTTTCGCTCTCCAAAATTTGAAAAACAAAGTATCAATCTTATTTTCATAGTCTTCGTTATTCCCAAAATACCGTTGATTCACTAGTTTAAATACCCACCTACCAAACACTATTCCCACTTCCCAAGAACCCCCCACCAATCTCTCTTCCTCCAACTCCTCTTTCTCTTGTAAGTCCTAACCATATGTTCTCTTGAGATCTTAAAGTCATTCTACTATTTATCAAGTATCTACATTAAAATTTCATACACAATCTCACTCGTCGTCGATTAGAAGATATGTTTATAATATACATCTATATGTTCTATTTATCTTTGTTATTTTGTTCTTTAGTTATTACTCTAAAACTTAACTTGGTGTTTAGAAGATCTATTCTAATGTCAATGTTTGATTTTCTTTTTATTTTAAAATTTTTTGTTTTTTGTTTTTAGGCTTGATCTGTGTTTAGCATCAAGCAATTGAACAGATCTATGATGGTCGACTCCTTGTAATTGAAGATTTAACAAAATTTTACATTATTTGGGGGGTTTCTAGATGTATCTTAGGTGTCATATCATTTTTATGCTTGGTACGAACCTTATTTGGTTATGAAGAACTTGTCTGATTCTTAGTTTGCGTCCGTGAAGATATTCACCTAGGTAAGTGTTTATTTTTGTTTTAATGTTAGGCTGCAATTTTGTGTCAAGTGCGATCTACAACGAATTGAAGGAGTCTAATTGTGTCCTTGTAACCAAACATTAAACCTTGTTTGGCAATTCGGTTCTTAAAATCAAACGAAATGAAATGTTCAGGGTTTAAAGATCCAAACTCAGACGATGTGTTCCAACTCTTTTTGAATACCACACTACTACAAAAAACACTTTTTGCAACGAAATAAGATTTGTAGTGCAAAATATGATTACGTTGCTTAAACCTTTGCGCAAAGTATGATTTCATTGCTCAAAAAATAAAAAAATCAAAACTTTGCGCGACGAAATTTTTGTCGCACAGGGTTTGTCATGCAAAGTTGTGCAAAGTTTTTTTATTTTTAACTTTTTATTTAATTAAATTAAATTAATATTTTGCATGACATGGTTAATTATTTGCACAATGAAATATTTTTGTCATGCAAGGTTTTTTTTTATTTTTAAATATTTTTATTTAATTTAATTTTATTAATTTTTGTGCTATGAAATTAATTGTTTGCACAATGAAATATTTTGTCACGCAAAGTTTTTGACTTTTTGTATTCTTTTTTATTTTATTTTAATTTAAATATTTTGTGTGATGACATATTTGGTATCGTACGAGTTTTTGAATTTTTATTCTTTTTAATTTAATTTAATTGTATGGTTTTAATTTTTTAATTACTTTAATTTAAATTAACATATTTAAAATAAAATTACATATAAAAAATAGTGTTCGAATTATCCATAATACATTTTCTATTATAAATGTACAAAAAAATTAACAAAGTACAATAATAAAATCCTTATACAAAGCCTGTTATGGTAATTTTATTATGTTACAAGAGTCGAACCTAAGGTCTCCCCACTTACAAGTGGAAATAGATACCATTGGATCATAGTACTAAGTGAAACCAACCTTGATAAGTTAATGTTGGAAGCATGGTAATTATTAAGCACTAATAACTCTTTTGGATCGTGTACTACTAATGCTACCGCTAGTTTCTTGTAGTGGAGAAAGTTTTCATTGTGATGGGTGGTACACCACGTATTTTTATATAAATGGCGGGAAATTTTAATTTTTTAACACACATGCGGTGTACTATCTTATGATCCGATCACACTGAAAAATCTCTCATTGTAGTGAATGTAACTCTTCATATCTTTTTACCCTTTCCACTCCTATCAGATATTACCGGAAGAATAAAAAAAAACTTTTTCTCCCATTAGATCTAAACTCTATGATACATAACAAAACCTTAGGAATCACAAAAGTCAAATTGATGTAACACTTTTGAATTAGGTTTTGGTCATCACAAATGATATATGTGCACACTCTTATCTGGGATCCAATGACTACATATGATGACTGCATATGATAGCGTTGATCTGTAGGTAGGTTAATGATTGCTCATCCATTGATTAGTGTATCTGTGATTCTCCTTTACTGGGAACACCAGATTATGAAGGAGAAGAGATTGTTCTATCCATATATGCATGGATCTGACATCGATCTATAATACGCTGGGAAGATATAAGGATACCAAGCAAGGCTTGAGTAAGCGCATGCACATGCAAAAAAGGTATATAAAAATGAAGGAAAATGACCCCGAAATTGCTTACCTTGTTCACGAGAGACGGCCTAACATTCCATTTTGCTTGTGCATGGTATTTATAAGTATAAGATTAGGGAAGAAGATCAATCTGGGGTTTTGGATGATTTCAGTACTTAGGTGGAGAGGATGGGTATATATACATATCCTTAATATTTCACGGATGAGATATAGGTTTGATTTTTTTGAAGCACATATTTTGTGATTAATGAGTAAATAAGTTTGACAAAAAAAACAATACAATACCGGTTTAGAATTAGATGAACTTAAAAGAAAAATATATTTGTGTGTGGTGGGGGAATAATTTTTATTTAACTGTTATTTTATCAATTTGAGGATTTCTCTTAATTTCTATGTTTGTATCCTCATTAAAGTTTTAATTTTATGCAAAATTTTGATAGAATATATTTTGAATGAGTCCATGAATGTCCACAAGAATTAGATCAAAATCTTAGACTTTGAAGTCTCAATAGTTGTTTAGGATTTGTCTTTAGTAAAATAATTCACTAGATATGTTGAATGAGGATCTTGGATAATGAATTCCTCCCAATTTTTGTTTTTTCAGAAAATAGGGATTTTATTCTTTATGATTTAGAACGAAAGTAAATAAGGGTAAGTTTTTTTCACATCAGAACGAAAGTAAATAAGGGTTTCATTTGAATCAGATTATGAAGAAAGCAACAGCAATAGAGAATAGGGAGCTTTCCACCCTTGCATCAAAATTGTATATACGCTCCGAAAAATTCAAACCAACTGAAAAAAAAACAGTTGAGAGAAAAAAGAAGAAGAAGGACACCCTCTTGGCGCCTTTAACTTACAAACAGAACTATTGTTGAACAATTCTCTGTTCATACGTATACACACAGCCTCCCTCCTATCCTTGCTAATTTTATTATGTTTCCCTTTTGTGCGCAGAACCTACCAATCCCATGGAAGAGCAAAAGATCACCGACTCTTTTCCTCAGACTCCGCTCACTAATAGGGAGCCCGCCAATGCAACGGACACTTTAATGGAATCCTCAACCATGACCTTAGAGTCCAATGTAGTGAATGGAATGAAGTTGGAGTCTGCTGATGGAATTGGAGTGAAGTTGGAGTTTGACGGTGATGAAAGTGGAGTAAAGTTGGAATCTGATGGAGATGAACATGGAGTGAAGTTGGAGTACGAAGAAAATGGATCGGGGGCCGCCAAAGAAGGACTAAAGGAAACAGGTGATGATGATAATAAAGATAATATTTTGTCTCTAGTTACATGGTGGTGATGATGATAAAGATAATCTTTGTTGTTCCTGCTGTTGGTTTTTTGGTGATAGCATAGGTGGAATTATGCATGGTTAGTACAGGAATCTGACTTTGGTATATTAATTTATTTGTATGACTTGGGACGTTCTTCGCTTCTACGGTTTCTTTTCGTGAAATTAAATTCTTGTATCTATTTGGTTGAGTAATTTGTCAAAAGCTTAATTATTGTCCTATCGAAAGCTTTTTGGTGCATGGTTTCTAATAGATTTAGAAAAAAACATTTCATCTCTTGCAAGCTGTTACATCGAAGATCAATTTTGTGCCGTTATATTGGATAGAGAATATAACTTTAGGGAATTTGGGTGTCTTTTGGTTTGAAACGATCACCAATTATAGCGATGATTCAAGTGAATTCTTCCCAGTATGGACTTTTCCTATTTCTGATGATCAACAGAAACTAATCTAGCTACAAGGACCATAATGGGAAGTCATACTACACTTGGAGTATTTTTTTGGCTTATAACACTTCCTAAATAGTTCGAGATTCCTTGTTCTTCTCTTCCTCATTCTACGGCTATCCTGCTTGTTATTGTTGCACTTAACACACATAAGTTGTAACATTATTAGCTTAACATGCTATTTCCCAAATCTTTAAACTTCAGCAGCTATATAAGCGTATTTTCATTCTGACATCCACTACTTCTGTTTCTGTAGATAGGTTTCCTGTGTACCCTGCTCGGGTAGAGTATCATATACTGATTGTTGCGCCTGGTCAGGTAATGTTAGATACATCCGTGAGTGTCTCAAGGCCAGTTTGATTAGTTATTCTTAATTCATATGTTGTTTTCTCTCTCGTTTTGCAGAACATTCTTCGTGAATTACTTGTATTATCTCAATCAACTAATGGAACAATGAATGTTCTTTCTGCTGTCGGTGTGGTTTCCACCATTTGTATCCGCAAACCTACTGGTGCTTATTTGAGATTCAAGGCATGACTCCCACACAGAATTTTTTTCACCAATTCCTTTACCTTGAGTTCCTTTTTTACCTTTTGTTAGTTTTTTGTTCAATGGATTGCTAGACTTTTATTTGGGGTTAGTAGGTTACAATTTCCAAACACAACTCGAACTCAACACGACACTAGTGGGTTAAGGAAGACCGTCAGATAATTCATAAAACTAATTTCCAACTCAAACAATGAACATAACGTCATGTTAGTGTTAAACCTCAAGTAACTTGATCTTGACATGACTAACATTTTTAACTGGTATTTTATGAAGAAAATTATCGATTGAACCTTGTTCAGTGAAGCATTCTATGATTGGTAACTAGGAAAACTGGTGAGATAAAATAATGCCATAGCTAGAGTAACTCTTTAATCCTTACTTTCTTCCTCCATGCAGGGTTCATTTCAGATTATCTCTCTATCTGGAACATTTATAAATAGTTCAATGTGTAATCCACTTGGAGAAAATAGGATGGTAACTGCTTGGCTGGTTAATCCTGAAAGGAAGTCTTTTGGTGGTTCTGTAGTCGGTTTTATGATAGCTGCTACGCCTGTTCAAGTAAGTTATATCTTTGAGTGATTGTGGAAATGGAATTACAAAATTTAGTTTTACAGTTCCCGTAGTACTATTCTAGAAATCTACTGTTTTCTGTGGAACTATAGTAAGTTAAAAAGTGCTACGAATTGGCCTGGTATGGCGGTTTTATTGCATTTCAAGAATTAATTAGTACTCTCCACAATCAGTCTGAAGTTCAATTACATTTTAATCAGAACTTTTTCAGTTAATGTCTTTGGGTTGTTTTGATGTATCAGATCGTTGTTGCTTGTTTTGAGCCAGACACCAGCAAAGAAAAGAATGGTAATCCTGCTTCTCCGCCGAGTTTTTCTCAGAGTGTCAATCCTGCTTCTCCATCGGATTTTGGTCACAACGTCCCGCAGCCAATGCTGGGTCCGGGAACATCTCTTGACGTCATCCCTTTTGTTCCTTAGACATAGAGGTAGCTCTGCTTTTTTTTCCTCTCTCTCTCTCTCTCTCTCTCTTTCTCTCTCACAACGCGCACATACATACAAAATCACTGACTAGGGTATACTGATATCTTTTATTTCTAACTTGCTTAGGTCTATGCTGAGCTTCTGACCTGAAGAAGTGTGTTATTCAGTTTGCAAGGCCACAGTGCAAGGTTTCTACGGGTGTTTGATATACCCGTAAACAAGATCTTGGAGTTGTTACTGTTGTTGTTTTTATGTTGTAACTTATTATGGATTTTGCTCTTTGGTTTAAGGATCGGTATTTGGAACTTCCTGCAGTAGAGATATTATTTGCAGCTAATTTAGCAAGGATGGTACAACATTATACATAGACACATTATATTGTGTAGATTTCAACCTTTTGTTAGATTGAAGATTGTCTTGCATCTACTGTTGCAAGTAAAAATATGAATTGCTGCAAGTCGCAAGTGCATAAAATTATGCACACTGGAACGACGAGTAAATACTTTAGTTACAAGGGAAAACCAACCTACAGGATTTACACTTCATCCATGCTGTCTATAGCACTAGAGCGAAAACTCACTGGCAAAAGTGAGCAATATTCTCTTAATGGTGTTCATACATTAGCAAATAACCGATAAGTTTTGGCATCGAGGCTTATTTGTCTTACAGCAGCAATTGCAGCTAGAACCCCCAAGATTGAAAACCACTGCAATAGTGGTGTTTAACAAAAAAATGGGGCTTCTTTTAGATGGCTTGAAGGTCAAGTTATAGAACACAACAGGCAAGATGAAGTCGAGGGGCATGAAACCAAAAGCCCCAATAACCGAATTGACATCCCCGAAAAATGGAAGCATTGCTGCTATGATGGTTGCTAAGATGACAGACATTGAGCGAGTGATTACCCCTGGGATCACATTGCGAGCAGAGAACTGTTTATTCGTTGGATCAACGAATTCTCGCTCAAGAACTTAATTCATGGGATGCAAATAAACCTGCAAGCCAAGCGATGTGGATTAGTGTTTGGCTCCATGTTTGAAGACGAAAAGAGATTTCTGGTGTGGCGTTCGATCATTTCTTACCACGCCAACGGCTGATAGTTGGAGTATGGTGAAAAGGTTGATCATGAAGATGAACCACTTTGACACTAAAGGTTTGCCATCATCCAAGAAGTTGCTAAGGATGAGGCCTTCAGCTTGGTTGCCAAATGCCTAATAGCCAGAGATGGCAACACTGAAGAAAATCATTGTCACTACTGCATAACAAACACATAGTCCCTTGAACATCTTTCCCTTCATTGGTGGTGCTAATACTATTGTTGCCTGTTATCAAAAGGTCATACAATTATTAGTTCCTAATCTAGCTTTAGTCCATTAGGGCGTGTTTAGTAGTGCTTTTTGGCCGTTATTGGCTGAAATATAGACATAAATGTTTTTCGGTTTGATTTTTGGGACCTGAAAACACTTTTCTAGGAAGCGGTTTTAGGGTAAAATATATGTAAGAAGCACTTGAATTTTTATAAAATAACTTATGTGATTCTAACAAAATACTGCGAAACAAAACACTTTGTTGGAGAGCAGCACTTTCGAACAAGCCTATAGTGCTTAAATTCTAAGAATATGAGAGGGAAGTTAAAGGACAATTGGAATATTTTAAACTTGAATCTCAGGAATGATACCATTGCCAAATGTTGTAGCAATGATGGCATTGACATTAATAAAGACCCCAAAAACTCGACTTTGAGTGTTGCCATTCAAGTAATAGTCCTTATGTGGCCCTTTGGAAGAACTTCCAGACAAAAAAGATTTATATTTTATGCTCGGTAAGTGTTCATCTGATTCAAACAAATAGATTACGTCATGTAATTAATTTTTATTTTGTTGAGACGATATTCTAATATATTCTAATTACAAAATGAGTAATTTGAATTTGAGTATCTACGGGTAACACACTTCTCAAACCAACTTAGCTACGCCTAGATATGTCAATTGAATGCATTTAACTTAAGCGACTGTGTCTCCTGTTTCTCAACGGAGCTAAGATATTACCAATGTAGATGCAGGCAGTAATGGTACAAGCACTATATGCCAGGCAAAAAATAAGGACAAACACCAAGTTGATGTGCCTGAGTGAGTGAAAAGATGGGATTTGAGCCAAAACCAGCATCAAACACCCAAATATGATCACAAACTCGTATAGCTTCATAGTGCCACTTGGGTTGGAAAGCAAGTAAACTGCCTGCGTGTGAGTTTATATATATATATATATATATATATATATATAAACATAACAACACAATAATTATAAATTGAAATAAACAGAGATGAAGTAAAGGATAAGTAAAGACGACAATGAAAAATGATAAAATAGGCACAAAGTAGGGAAGCAAACTCACATTAATTTATTAATATTCAACTTCAATGTTACAGGATAGCACCAAAGTTGCAAACAGACACAATACTCAAACACTCAATAATATAGTTCACAAAGCAAAAGTTCTTCGTCGTGATTACAACTGAGCTCGGAGGCTCTATAAATAGAAAACTAAAAGAAAACCCAAACGCTAGGTGTCGCACAAGCAGCGGAGCATAAAAAAGCAGCCTACAATAATGATCGGCATCTTCACTTTTTGCAATGACACTGACAGAGCTACACGTGGAGCAACAAAAAAATTCTTGAAAAAAGCACATACCAACAAGCAGCTATAGGAACCATATGACAACTATTCAAAAAGGAATAAAAACTAACATCTAGATTTCAGATAGATATCATTTTATCTTTTTTTTTTTTTTTTTTTGGAGAAAAAGCATTTCATGCTTTATTTCTTTGGACGTATAGGAGAACATATTTCATAGTAGTTGTCCTCATTATCATTTCCATAGTCTTCATCCATGTTATGCTGAGATGGCACGTCATCAGATCTCATTTCTTTGTCATCTAGGTCATCTAGCTCAAGGATTTTGAGAACCGTTTCTTTTAGGTCTTTCTTCAGACAAGATGGGCTGGACTCAATCAAAGATTTAAGTTTTTCAGTCTTTAATGATGATGATGATGATTCAGGGGAAGAACGGGAAGGTTTAATAGCACACTGCCTATCAAGCAAGATTATTCTGGCCTTGAAAACATCTGGCTTAAGATGATCCAGGTGAAACTTGTCCCACCAACGGATAAAGAGCTGTCTTTTAAGCTGGGGAACGAAATCCCAAGCACCACCATCGTCGTCAACAAAGCCATAGTCCTATTTCAGGATCCAAGGGAGTTCATAAAATATCATGAACCAGAGAAACAACTTTTTTTTTTTCCAGGATAATCAACATTTTCTTTACTAGAATTATCTTGAAAAGAATCAACAGTTACTTGGGGCAGAAAATCCAAATTTGGACCTTAAACAATAAACCATGTTCTAAACCAATTCGGAATCTCTTTCAGACTTCTAAGATGAAAGTGGATGAACCAGGTGTGGGAATAGCAAACGTTTTGGAAACATAACACTACATCCTAAGCTTTCTGGTAATCCCATAAATTATACCCTCTTGGACTCATATCAGGGTTGGAGTGTAGATGCAAATGATAGGGGCTATTTCCCCATTCTTCTAGAGAGATAATTTCAGTATCGTAATTTTTGAAAACGCAATCATGTTGTTTGTTTCACTCCTGTATCTGTGAACAACATCGACTGATTTGGTCTCTATCAGAAGTCTTTCGTACCAATATCTTGGCTTGAGAAATGGATGAATATGATCTTGGTGGTATTTTTCACCAACCTATCTTGGAGATAACAGTAGATCGGAATCCTCTATGTTCATAAGAGGAATTGCAATGATGCATCTGAAAAGATTGTCAGCTACAACCTTCTCCCTGTCTTTGTTATAAGGGAGAGCATCTTGGGTTTGGATTTTGGGAGGACGAAGGAGAACCTCTTTAGATCGAGGTAGAGCCTCATCTAGCGAGGGCTAGATTATGCTCCTTCTTTCTTTGATGTGCCTTGCAAAAATTCACGAGTTAAGAAATCAGGCAAAGAGTTACATTCACCCTTAACATGTTCAATATTAAAATCAAATGCTAACAGAATCCCTTGCCATCTGGCAAATATTTGTTTTAACGCTAAATTTTTAACGTCTTTCAACAATATATCATTAGCAGCCTTACAATCTACCCTTATTAGGAACCGCTTGTTAAAAAGATCGCTTTCAAATTTAGTAATTGCATGGACTATAGATAAAAGTTCCTTCTTAACAGTTGAATAGTTCCTCTGGGCTAGTTTCCAGATACCAGAAATGAAGAAAACTAAGGCTTCTTTGTTGTCTTCAGTTTTTTGTTTCAAAACCCCTCCATAGCCCTCTTTAGAAGCGTCAGTTTCCACTATTTTGAATGCTTCCAGATTTGCCAATGCTAAGTACGGGAGTTCTTTGACATTTTTCTTCAAAAGTCGTACAGCTCGGGTTTGTTCCTCTGTCCAAGGAACATGATTAATTTTAGTAAAGAAAATGATGATTATCCTGAAAAAATGAAGTTGTTTATCTGGTTCATGATATTTTATGAACTCTCTTGGATCTTGAAATGGGACTATGGTTTTGTTTGATGATGATGGTGCCTGGAATTTTGTTCCTTAGCTTGAAAGACAGCTCTTTATCTGTTGGTGGGACAAGTTTTACCTAGATCATCTTAAGCCAGATGTTTCAAGGCCAGAAAAATGTTGCCTGATAGGCAGTGTGCTATTGAACCTTCATATTAATCCCCTGAATTATCATCATCATTAAAGACTGAAAGACTTAAGTCTTTAATTGAGTCCAGCCTATCTTGTTCGACGAAAGATCTAAAACAAAAGGTTCTCAAAATCCTGGAGTTGGAGGACCTAGATGACGAAGAGATGAGATCTAAAGAAATGTCATCTCAGCATAACATGGATGAAGACTATGTAAATGATAATAAGGACGATTGCTATGGAATATATCCTCATATTCGTCCAAAGAAATAAAGCTTGAAATGCTTTTTCTCTGGAAAAAAGAAAGGATAAGATGATGTCTGTCTGAAATCTAGATGTAAGTTTTCATTCCTTTTTTACTAATTGTCCTATGGTTCCTGTAGCTGCTTGTTGGTATGTGTTTTTTTCAAGAATCTTTCTGTTGCTCCACGTGAAGCTCTGTCAGTGTCATTACAAAAAGTGAAGATGTCGCTCATTATTATAGGCTGCTTTTTGATGCTCCACTGCTTGTGTGACACCTGGCGTTTGGGTTTGCTTTTAGTTTTCTATTTATAAAGCCTTCAAGATCAGTTGTAATCACGACGAAAAACTTTCACTTTGTAAACTATATTATTGAGTGTTCGAGTACTG